GTGGAGGGTCATGTAGTTGTGTCGGTTCAACACCTCAGCGTACCTGCACGAGTGAGTTGTGGGGTGTGGCTGGTCATGGAGTGTGACGGTCAATCAGTATAGCTAGTGTGGGTGATGGAGGGCAGGTTGACTAGATCAATCACAATGACTCATGTGAATTGCCGTTTTCAATTCGGTTTAATATAAATTTGGTAGCGAGGGGTTAGACACAGACTGTTGCTCATGCTATGTCTGTTGTCAGAAACATATAGGTAGTTGTTCCACACTCCAAATAACTACACAATGATTTTTTGACGTTAGGACGTTTTCACGTTGATATCCGAAAGTACCTGCACGAGCAAGGGGGTGGAAGATTCTTCGATATATCAACGCATCGCGATACAATTGACCGGGGAACGCTGTCACGTCATTGACACTGGATCTACGCACGGTGTCTCGAAAGTATTTTAATTCGGTTTCGTGTGAATCTGGTATCAGGGGCCCGTTATCAAAAACATACAGTTACTTAAACACTTCTATTGCCTGTACGACGAATTGAAACATTTTCAGATTTTATAGTCAAATGTTTTTGACTCACAACAGTCATAAATATTTCCGACGTTTCTGGCAACGAGTCACAAAGCTGTAATGGCAACGGTAGCAGTAACGGTTCAGTTATAATAATTAAAACATTAACTCTTCAATCAGAGTTAGACTGGCGCCGCCACCACGCGTACTTTTCGCTCTGCTTGCGCACGCTCTCGTGATAGTGCTTTGCACATGCTGACGCACTGCAGTCTCATCTCGTCCTCCATGTCCACGTCCTCGAGAAACTTGTTGGCCACCATCTCCAGCGCATCCTCCGGCCACGCCTGTAAGTATGAAGCACGGTTATACACGGCAGGCTACCACAACACACACACGCACGCACGCAGCGCAGCACCGCCGCACGCTCACATACAATGTGCATCGAACCAATGCAGTATACCGGCGTGGTACCAGTACTGTACATAGGTTGCAAGTTACAAATCATACGACTTGTAATAGCTGCTTCATATATTAGGTGCTGTCACTATAATATAACACGTCAGGGAATGGAAGAAGGCACGGCAACATGAGTAGGTAGGTACACGCACACACGCACGCACGCACGTTACCTGGAACCAGTCTATCGTAGCAGCAGTTGAGAGGAGGGACATGCGCAGGCGGTGCGGAATGCGTCTCCTATGGGACTCATGGCGAGGACGACGTGAAGGTTCTGTCTGACACGCTCGATGAAGAAGCTGTACATCGATAGCGGCGTCGCCTCCATCTTCTTACCCTGTGTGTGCGTGAGCGAGAGAGCAAAGAGAGAGAGAGAGAGAGATTAGACATGCAGCGTAGAGAGAGAAAGAAAGAGCAGGGAAGGAGATAGAGAGAGGAGGCGGGAGAGAGAGAGAGAGAGAGAGAGAGAGAGAGGAGAGAGAGGAGGGTAAGAGAAGAGAGGAAGGGAGCGAGAGGGAGGGAGAGAGAGAGAGAGAGAGAGGAGAGGAGGAGAGCAGAGGAGGAGAGAGAGAGAGAAGAGAGAGAGAGAGGAAGGAAGAGCAGAGGAGAAAAGAGAGGTGCGAGAGAGAGAGAGAGAGAGAGAGAAGAAGAGGAAAGAGAAGAGAGAGATAGAGAGAGAGCATCATAACACTAAAAATCCTGACGCTATAGTTATGCAGGAGTAAAGATAATATTAGAGGAGTATGACTCTCCAAAACATGCATGAATTTCAAACATGTTGCCTTGCCTATTTTACGCGATGATCTTATTAGTGCACTCGATAAAAATTACATCTAAATGAGGCGTTGGACGATCCGTCTCTAACTATAAACTTTTACTTTGTTTAAATACCTCTTGCTCCTTTACGACGAGATATAGCTCTTGAAACGTCACACATGGATTCATAGTGTTTAACCTAAGCTGGCGGCTCAGATTGCGCCAGATAGCATCCGCAACAGTGGCTACGCTGTGAGGAAGGTGCTGTCTGTTTGACAAGGAATGCCACCTGTTGGGCGGCAGAGTAACGGATAATATAGACTTCTATATTATATTCTATATTATATCATAACAGCACTATATATATTATCTATATATAAATATACACACGTATAATATATATATGACACACATATATACACACTATATATCTACACACATATCATCTTATTATTCTTATATTATATGATGTCATATATATATCTTACTTCCTGCCGCCAACAGCGTGGCATTCTTGTAACAGAGCAAGACGCATTCTCACAGGGCTAGCCACTGTTCGGATGCTGATCTGGCAATCTGAGGCGCCAGCTTAGTTAAAAACACTATGAACGCATGTGTGACGTCAAAGCTATATCTCAGTAAAAAGGCAGAGGTATTTTAAACAAAGTTAAAGTTTTAGGTAGCAGACGCGATGTTCCAACCTCATTTAGATGTAATCTTTTATCGAGTTGCAGCGAATTTATGCATCGTGTAAAATTAGGCGCAAGCAAATGTCATGACAATTCACATGTTTTTGGAGAGTCAACTTCCTCCTATGATTAGTCTTACTCCTGATATTTATATACCGAGTCCAACCCCGGCACTACAGCCCAAGCATGTATTGTATTTAATGCTAAACTTTCCACGTGACCTCCATGACACCCCAACCTCCTGCACCCCATGACCCTGTACATGACCCCGCGACCCCTGTACATGACCCCTGACCCCCACACGCGGGCGTACCTCCTGCCTGGCTACAGCCTGCATCTTCTCTATGATCTCGGCTTTCTCGTCGGAGGCGAACATGTTGGAACGTCTCTGTGTTCAGCATCATGTTGATGTCCTCCACAAACGACTCGTCCTTGATCTGATTGTCCCCGAAGAGAAAGACCACAGGCTTCCCCTCCGTCCCCGCCTTCCTCAGCAGCTGCATGCGGGCAAATATTAGAAGAGGAAGCCATAATAAATATAGAAGAGAAGACCACAGGCTTCCCCTCCGTCCCCGGCCCTTCCTTAGCCAGCTGCATCCGGGCAATTATAGAAGAGGAAGCCAAATATAATATAGAAAAGGAAGACCACAGGCTTGCCCTCCGTCCCGCTTCCTTAGCAGCTGAAATCCGGGCAATGCGGGCAAATATAGAAGAGGAAGTCATAATAAATATAGAAGAGGAAGACCACAGGCTTCCCCTCCGTCCCCGCCTTCCTCAGCAGCTGCATGCGGGCAAATATAGAAGAGGAAGCCATAATAAATATAGAAGAGGAAGACCACAGGCTTCCCCTCCATCCCCGCCTTCCTTAGCAGCTACACACAGACAGATATAGAAGAGGAAGTCACGATAGGTATAGAAAAAGAAGCTATGATAAACATAGTATAGGAAGACCACTTCCCCTCCGTGCCACCTCCCTCTTTCCAGGAGAGCAGAGCAGGAGAAAAAAGAGGATTCAGGGTTCTTACATCCAATGGAGAACATTTCTCCCGGAGTCTACTGTGACGCATAAGGTATATTTTCCAGGGCCGCGAAACATAAGCAGAGTAGGAGAGTAGAGACGCTGTCCGACAGACCAAGGTCCAACTACATGACCCCTGCATGACCTCTGACCCCTGAATGACCTCTGACCTACCCGCTTGAGGTCGTCGCGCCACTCGACGGTCGTGTAGTTCTTGGTGATTTCGATCTGGAAGAGGTCGTATCCGGCCATGAAGGTTGCAAGCTTGGTCGCGCTCTGCCTGCCGCTGCCGCCGATGCCTGCAACAACGCCGCGGTGTGATAGCTTGTTACGCGACCATCGCTACAGACATGTGTATGTATATAGGCCTATATATATTATATGGTAACATCCCAGTTGGCCTACACCGATTACTCAATTTTGTCTACTCTCAGAATCGGCAATATTCCCATTTCGCCTACTTCCATATACTATTGCATTTTCTATTTTTGTCAAGTTTTGTTCCCATTATTTGTACCTATGTTTTCTTCTGGTTCGTGTAGTCTATGTATGCCAACCATATTTTATTATTTATAAATGATTATTTAATGAACAAACCGATTGTAGATGAAATGGGAATGGGGTAGATTTTGAGTGTAGACGAATTGGGAGTAGGCGAAATGGGTGTAGGCCAACTGGGAATAAACCATATATATATATATATATATAGTGGAGGAACAACATGGGAGTAGGCCAACCGGGAATAAACCATATATATATATATGGTGGAGGAACAACATGGGAGGAAAGCTTGTTACACGACCATCGCTACAGATATGTATAGATTCATATGTATAGATATATGTTCATGCTGCAGTGGGTTGCTGGCCATACAATAGAAATTAACGTAATGACAGTAAGGTAACAGTGCATGGGTGATATACTGACCAGCAGAGCGTGCCCTACATTACTATTGTTGTAATTATAGTAAGGTAACAGTGCATGGGTGATATACCGACCATCAGAGCGTGCCCTACATTACTATTGTTGTAATTATAGTAAGGTAACAGTGCATGGGTGATATACCGACCATCAGAGCGTGCCCTACATTACTATTGTTGTAATTATAGTAAGGTAGCAGTGTGTGGGTGACATATCGACCAGCAGAGCGTGCCCTACATTACTATTGTTGTAATTATAGTAAGGTAGCAGTGTGTGGGTGACATACCGACCAGCAGTGTGTGGGTGACATATCGACCAAAACTGCCTGCCGGTCGGTATGTCACCCCACACTGCCTGGTCGGTATTGTCACCCACACACGTAGCTGTCTCGGTCTATTCACCCAACACCACTGCTGCGTCGAGCTGATGTCAACCCACACACTGCCTGCGTCGCCGTATATCACCCACACACTGACTGGTGGCCATATGTCACCCACACACTGCTGCCGCTCGATATGTCACCCATGCCACTGCTACCTTACTGTCATTACGTTAATTTTGTATTAGTATGGCCAGCCAAGCCACTGCCCCACCATGAACATATATCTATACATATCTGCTAGCGATGGTCGTGTAACAGGCTTTCCTCCCATTGGTTCTCCACCATATATATATATATATATCGGTTTAATTCCCGTGTGCGCCTACCCCATTTCGCTCTACAGCCAATAGTCCGATTTTGCCTACAGCCAAACATTCCAGTTGGCCTATCACCCATTCGCCTATCTCCCAATTCGTTCTACACTCACAATCTTACCCCATTCCCAGATTTTATCCTACAATTCGGTTTGTTCAATAATAATTATTTATAAATAATAAGAATATGGTTGGCATCGCATAGCACTACACGAAACCAAGAAGAAAACATAGGTACAAATAATGGCGAACAAAAAACTTGACAACAAATAGAAATAGCAGATAGCATATGGGGATAGAGCGAAATGGGAATATTGCCGATTCATGCAAAGTAGACAAAATGGAGTAGCAAATCGGTGTATGGCTCAACTGGGCATGTACATATAAATATATATAGCGCTTATATACCATAACACGCCTCTGCTAGCGATGCGTTGCGCTAACAAAGCTATCACAGCCGCCGGCGTGCCTTGCACGCATCGGCGCAGCGGCAGGCAGAGCGCGACCAAAGCTGCAACCTTCATG